AGTGGCGTAACATTTCCGTCTCACGCTTGAGGTATTCGGCCAATCATAACGTACTGGATAGCTGGCCAATCAGAGCATACCTCGCTTTTCAGACCAATGAGGTTTGTAAAAATCGACGCGTTTCAGAAAGGCAGGGCATAGAGGAGAAACAATAATGTACAGTATGTGGAAAATAATGTGTTTTTTGAACCTTAAACCGCATAAACACATTTCATTACACCAAATACACAAAATAATGTTCTTGTTAGCAGCATCATATGACCCCTTTAAAATTAAATATTAAAAATGAAGCTAACGTTCTACACACAGCAATATAAACATTATTTTAAAAACATATTTATTTAACTTTTAAACTTAAAATGGTCTTTTCTGTTCTGTGTTTCTTTTTCAAAACTGCGTCACGGCATTTGCTGCTATCAATACAGAAGCATCCGTTTCGATACATGTCTCAGCAAGGAGCACAACCCTATTAAAAGCCGTGCTCCATGTGCCCCTTTTATACTTTGAGCACCTGCCCCTCCAAAGGTCTCTGCACGGCCCTGCTACAGACCTTGGCATTTCTCATTTGTTTTTTAATGGGCTTGTCAGTAAAACTCATAAAAACTACAGAAAAGTCATTTAAATTTGGTTTGGAGAAGGTTTATTTATTTTTTTAGAAAAACATAAAAATAAACTGCTTTAATGTATTCTTGGTACAACACAGGGTAAACCATTTATGGTATGAAACAATAAAAATAAAGGTGATGAAATTTACAGAAAATAATAATCTGATGCTATACAGTGAGTAGGAAGATCACTGGGCTCAGGCACAGCCAAGTCATTGTATAACAGTGATTCATTATCCATTCAGTTTGTCTACTGAGCTACAGCATTTTTTCGTTTCAGTCTGCTATTGCTTTGAATGAAACTTACAATCTGAAATGGCTGAAACAGTGTCCATCGCCATCAGTAACAGATCTGAAGAATTAGTCAGTCACAGTATATGGGAGCTGATTTATAGTACGACCTGCAGCTTGCAACCAACGCAGCGCCACACAAGCAATCAGCTAATTCTGAGGTTACTGAATTTATAATGCAGTTCTGAACCATCACGTTGCTATAGGTTTAAAAAACAAACAAAAAAAAAACACTTTTCTGCTGGCTTATCCGTGTCATTTATATTGCTTCATTTCTTTCACATGATAATTACCACCACAGAGACACACATATCAGGATCTTGCTGTAGGTGTTCTCATCTGTGCCATCGTTGGTATTGTTGCATACTTTTTTCTAGTTTTACTAGACTACTCTATGAAGCTACACACAAGCGACACACACAGTAGATAAAAGATTTACATAGGAACACTATGTTCCTTTCTAGGCTTTTTAACCCCCAAATATGATTCATAGGATATTTGCATTTGCTGCAGGCCTTACATTTCGAGAGTACCAATGAGTTCCAGTTACGTTTTATTTTATTTATTTATTTTTTACCAAAAATATTTAAATGAGCATAGAGCTGTGATTATGTCCATAGACCTTTGTGTCTTATATTTACCATCAGTTTGTAATTTAAATTAAATTACTCTGCCACTAGTCTTACGGCCTTAACAATACAACTCTTTACTATTGAATGTGTCTCATGAAGGCAACAGAAAAGTAATAGAAAAGTAACATATTTTGGTTTAAGCTGAAAATGCATTTACCAATTCAACCATTGTGAGTCTATGCCTTTAGATAAGATCATTTCATAACCACACAACTGGTAAACCAACAAATTCATCATCACCTACAGAAGATATTTGTCACATTTTCATTTTGATAATTAAGGTTGTGCAAGTAGACGAATGAGGTCTCTAAAATTATGCATGAATGCATAATGTTGCATGGAAAAATAATTGAACAAATTATAGATTATTCCTTTCAGAAATAGTTTAAACTTTCAAACATTTCACATTGCTTTGTCTTTCTGGAGCACTTTCTTTACCCTCTTCAGAACTTTCTTTACCCTCAGTAGGCCACCATCTACCACTAAATATCAGTGTTCATTTGTATAGGATAGCAATAGGAAGTATAGTTATTTTTTTCACTCTGGGTTAATACAGTATTTAAAGGTTATGTGGGAAATTTGTGATGACCCATACCTTAGTGTTAACATTTATACAAATGTATTCTCTGTAATACTTTACCTTGAGGTTGAACTCATTAATCCATTAGGTATCATGAACTAAAAATGAGCAACGATTTCCACTGCATTTACTAATGTAAGTTAATTTATGTATTATCTATTATTCAT